AGGATCCTTAAAAGTAGAAGAGGGAGGCAGAGGGGGAAGTGATTATGGAAGACAGGGAAGGATTTAATCTTCCATTGCTGGCTTTCCAGATGCAGAATGGGGACCATGAGCCACGGAATGCAAGTAGACACTAGAAGCTGGAGAAGGGCTGGGAAACAGACTCCTCCCCCAAAGTCTCGAGAAGAAAAACAGCCCTGTAGACACCTTGACTTTGGCCCAGTGAAATCTCCCTCGGACTTCTCACCTGCACAACTGTACAGTAATAAATATGCATTGTTTAAGTCACATGACTTAAGGCAATCTGTTACAACAGCAAGAGAAAACTAATACGCCAAGGCTAACACCACCTCCGTAGGAAGAATAATGGCAGGACTGGCACACAGGCTGCTTTTACTCAAAATTAGTAGTCTGGGACACAAACAAAGAACGTCACCATTATTTCCCCAATTTTGTGAGGCACATTTGTTTTTTAAATTTTAACATTTCTCAAATCAGGGTGTGCCTCACAAATGAAACATACAGTTAATAGTGTTTCCCACCCCCACCCCCCCGACAAAATTGAAAGCTGTTATTAAAAATATTATGGGGCGCCTGGGTGGCTCAGTTGGTTAAGTGGCCCACTTCAGCTCAGGTCATGATCTTGCGGTCCGTGAGTTCAAGCCCCGCGTCGGGCTCTGTGCTGACAGCTCGGAGCCTGGAGCCTGCTTCTGATTCTGTGTCTCCCTCTCTCTGACCCTCCCCCATTCATGCTCTGTCTCTCTCTGTCTCAAAAATAAATAAACGTTAAAAAAAAATTTTTTTTTAAATAAATAAAAAAAATAAAAAGATTGTACGTTTTACGATCTCCGGCACCTTAAAATCATATAAAAAGTAGTCATTTCAAGAAGCGAGCGGGTGGAAAGCAATCCCACGAGCATGATGGAGTACATTGTCAGTGTGAAACATGTTGCGAGGCACTGAGGTGGGCTGGACAGGGAGAGAGAGCCGCTCCTCTCTCCAAGATTCTCACAGATAAACAGAACAACGACCAGTGTGTGATAAATCACACTAAAATACTGGTGTTATGATTAAGCTCCAAATACATAACGCTACAAAGTCAGGCACACACCTGGCTAGTTCACCTCCAAGTTCCCTGTATCTAGCCCAGGGCCTGGCACAGAGAAGGCTCTCCTCTGATTGACTATGTAAGTATTTTACATGCTTTCCCTCATGTTTCTACCAGATGGATTATATCATCTCACTATCTTATTGCTGAGGAAACTGAGGCTTACAGAGAATACTTAATTTGCCCAAAGTCACAGAGCTAACAGCTCGGGCCAGGTTTTCTCAGCCTCAGCACTAGTGACACTTTGGGCTGAGTAATTCTTTGTTGTGAGGGACTGCCCTGGGCATTGCACAATGTTCAGCAGCATCCTTGGCCTCTAGCACCGCAAGTCAGTAGACCACTCCCCTCCACATGTGACAGCCAAAAACGTCTCCAGATGTTGACGAATGTCCCCCAGGGGGAGAGGAGCAAAAATTATCTGCAGCTGAAAACTACTAGCTTCGGGAAAGGGACATCAACATTAAATGATGTGTGGACTTGAAATATGCCCACAAAGTCTTTGATACTCTTCCTTTAAAATTTTTTTTAATGTTTATTTATTATTGAGAGAGAGAGAGACAGAGCATGAGCATGGGAGGGGCAGAGAGAAGAGGAGACACAGAATCCGAAGCAGGCTCCAGGCTCTGAGCTGTCAGCACAGAGCCTGACATGGGGCCTGAACCCACAAACTGTGAGATCATCACCCTAAGCCGAAATTGGACACTCAACCAAGTGAGCCACCCAGGCGCCCCTTTAAGTTTATCTTTATTTATTTTGAGAGAGAGAGAGAGAAAGAGAGAGAGAGAGTGTGTGTGAGCAGGGGAGGGGCAGAGATAAGAGGAGACACAGAATCTGAAGCAGGCTCCAGGCTCTGAGCTGTCAGCACAGAGCCTGACGTGGGGCTTGAACTCACAAATCTAGCGATCATGACCTGAGCTGAAGTCAGACGCTTAACCGACTGAGCCACCCAGGCGCCCTGATACTCTTCCTTTAAAGAGTTGAAGCATAATTCCTATTTTCTTGAGAATGAGAAGAACTTAGCGACTTGTTTCTAATAAGCAGAATATGCTAGATACAATAGGGATGTGTAAGATTAGGTCACAGAAGGTATTTTGGCCTCTTCTTTGTTTTCTCTCTTGAATTGTTTTTTTCAGGGGAAGTCACAAGAACACAAAAGCAGCACTGTGGAGAAGTCTACAGGGTGAGGACTGAGGCTTCCTGCCTGCAGCCAGTAATGAGCTGAGGCATCTTAGTCAACTGCTATGGAGTACGCCATCTTGGAATCAGCTCCTCCAGCCCCAGTCAAGCCTTCAGATGACTGATGCCCCAGCTGACATCTTAACTACCATTTCATGAAAGACTCTGAGCCAGACCCACCGAGCTAAGGCACTCCTGGATTCCTGACCTCGGAAACCAGTTGAGATATTTTAAATGTTTTTTTTTTTAAGCTTTTAACTGTTTGTTCCACAGCAATAGATAACCAACACAAACTGACTGACATGTTGAGGGAAGGAGTAAATGTTCTACCACTGGAGATGCATGGCAGAGGGGAGGAGAGACTGGAAATGTCAAGTTGCAAAGGTCCTTGAAGTGCACGCTCAGAAATCTGACCTTCATTCTGATGAGACTTGCTTGGGCCACCACAGGGCAATAAGACTTGTGCATTTTTCACATCTAATAACACAAAAGTGGCATTCTTCTGTTTAGGTCTCTCAGTGGTCTCTCATTGCTTTGAGCAGAAAGGACAAATGCTAAGTAAAGCAGAGAGGGCCTTCAGTTTTCTTTCTCTTCCCTTCTTTCCTTTTTTTCTTTCAGCCTGATCTTTTGCCACTCTGTTGTGGCACTGTCCCCATCCCAATGCACACACATATAGTGCAAATACTCCCTCTACCCCAAATACTTTGGTTTCTTAGAGATACTATGTTCTCTTAAGCTTTTATAGGTTTGCCCTTGTCCTGGGCACCATCCCTCATCTCTGCCTTTTGGACTACCTGGACTAACTATCCCTTTTTTTGGAAGCCTTTCTTTTCCTCCCCAGTTTGGGAGGGTGCCTCCCATTTACTCCCACCCTCTCACAGGTTAGTATGGGTAGATGTCATTGCATTCACAGGATTTTTCTGGTCTAAATGGACTCTTCTCATTTGTCCATTTCAGCAACTCTTTCCCCACCTGGGCTTGAGCTCCACAAGAATTCACTGGTTGCACTTGCTTATTTTTTAATCTCTGAAGATAGCAGGTGACTAATAAATGTTTGTTGAACAAATGAATGAATACATGATTGAGTTGTTGCTGACTGCTACACCTGCAGACGTCCAGACTTCTCTATAGTTTGGTAGCTGGGTGATTTGTCTTGGAAGGGTTCTGAAGAAAAATAAGTCCAGCATTAAGGGGTCTTATCTTGCCCCATGGATGGATGTACCTCGTGTTTGAGCTGGACATAAACACGGATATAGCAATAGTGGGTCTCGCTCTCCTCCACAAATCACTGGACCTGTTCCCCTCAGAGCGGACCAAGAGGCATTACCCTCACTTTGAAACATGACCTAATTTCACTGACTCATGGGCAGAAACCCTGAGATGCTGGTCCCTTTTGACCAATGTCCCCAATCTTTTCTCATATGACAGGGTAAAAAAAAAAAAGTATCCATAACCCTGATCATTTTCAAACAAGTCTGTTCCTGTTAACTATGTGAGGACTGACTGTTTTAGGGGGGATTGGGTTTGGCTTGGACACAAGCTGGGGCAGAGCTGAGAATGTGAAGTGCCTCAGGTATATTAGTGCAAAATGGTGAGGCGGAAATTTGAAAATTATGTGGGACAGAGGTCAGCAAACTATAGTCCACAAGCCAAATCCAGCTCTATTTTTTATGGCCCCTGAGCCAGGAATGGTTGTTACAGTTTTTAATGGTTATATTTTAAATGGTTAGATAAGTGCCTATGTGATGCCTTTGATTTTGCCTCTTGGCTTGCAAAGCCTAAAATGTTTATTATACATGGCCATTTAAGAAAAAGTTTACTGATCCCTGGTGTATAATAAGAGAGAAAGACTTTCTCAGAGATGGAATCTGGTGAACAGACATGTCTACTTGGAGTTTTAAGTTGCTTACAGTGGGATGTGCCATGTAATTCCCTTCTTCTGTATCCCCTAGGAAATCCGTCTTACCTCTAGATTGGCCATTAAAACTTACCAGTCACCTGTCCTTTGGTGGGCAGGAAACACAGAGGGGACTCGATGTATGCATCTGACAACAGGGAGAGGGCATGCAGAAGCAGAGGCTGGGGTCCCAGAGAGAAGCCATCGACCAGTCACTTAGGGCCTCCCTGTTACTGTTTTTAGGGTCTCAGGTCAGGTGTGAGAGTTAACAGTACAACCCCATCCCCCTTCTTCTCTTCCTACTGCCTAAACCAGCTCCAGCCTGCTGGGTCTAACTGGTGCTGTCCTCTGTGAGGGCACATCCCCCCCCTTTACTTAATCACGGGGTCCCCTCCTCTCCCAGCAGCCCATCAGCCAGAGTGCCTGGCCACTTCTCAAAGAGAGCCCTCTTACCCATCAGGGGACGATAATGCCCAGCAATCATTTTGGCTTTTCCAGACTTAATGTTCTCTCTCCTCAGGTCCTTCCTGCCCCAATGGGAAGCGTAAGGATGCTATTTTAAGACATCATTTTGTACCAAAATACCACTTTGAGACACTCATGTCTTTCCTTCCAATAATCTCTTTTGTTTAAAGCATAAAGAACTTGTCAGGCGGGGCAAGTCGTAGCTTCCTATGGGAAAGGAGCCAAAGGGCAGTGTGGAGGTTGTCACAGTATTCCTGCTGCCCCAGGGCATCAGTGCTTTCTAACACATAATGCTGAGGGCAGTGGACGCCCTTTGTCTTCTCCAGTGTCTCATTCTCATCTTCACAGACTGGAAACCACAGGGAGAGGTCACCAGGGACCGAGGCTCCATGTGACGAGCACCAGGGTGAGAAAGGACAGGCTAATGATGGCCAAGTCGGCACTCAGCCTGGCCACAGGGAAAGAGCTGGAGAACATGAAGGGAAGAGAGAAGAAAAGGCAGTGGAAAGAGTTTTTCCCACCATGGCAAAAATAATTGGGACTACATCTGAGGTGGGTGTCTGCTGACATCATACAAATGAACAGATATTTGGGAGAATGAATTATTTTCCCCCCTGAAAGCCCCTAAGGTTTTAGGTCTGATTTCTATCACTGTATTCTGCTTTTCTCATGATAGCTAATATTTACTGAATGCTAACTATGTATCCTGTACAATGCTAATTAATTTACAAGATTCAGCTCATTTACTGCAGATGACAATCCTGCAGTGTAGTAAGTACTGACTGTCACTCCATATTTACAGAAGAGGAAACTAAGGCTCAGAGAGGTTAAGCCACTTGCCCACAATCACACAGCTCATGAGTGGCAGAGCTGGGACACAGCCAGGCCTGACCCCAGAACCTGAGCTTATCATAACCTCTCCCTTAGATCAGCTCTCCCACGGACCTTGCCTCCAGGATCTTTTCTCCTATGCCAGCCGGGCACCAGCATATGGTTTGGAGAAGCCAACTCCCGTAGACAGCTGTCTAGATGGTGTTGATGTTATAAATGGTATTATAAAAAATAAGGATAAGGCTTATAAATCAGGCAAAGGGAAGTTATGATTCTTGTGGACACTCTAATCTATCTTCCTATAATTGCCTGTATATGAAATGCCTGCATGAGGTTATCGGAGTATTCCCCGAATCGCCTGTGAAGGAAAGATTGCAATTTTAGCAACCCTTGTTACACAAACCAAAGCAATCTGTTCTACTTTGACACTCTGACACCCATGGCTGGCAAAAGGGGTGGAGGTAGGGATGGACAGGAGTTTGTGTACATTCCTGTACCAATGGGAAGTATAAAGGGTTAACCGTGAAACATCATCCGTGCAGATGATGCTCTGGCCTCTCACCAGGCTAAGGAAGCAATCTTTGGGATACTTACGGAGAAAACCACAGCTTCCCTTCTTTAAACCATCTTTAACCTTTAGTTCTAGAAACCCTAATTAAAAATCAATTCTGTTTTTTGTAGTAAATCTGACAGTAATTCTATCTCTAATGGCAGTGGCAAGATAAATAGTATGTCAGGTAAACTCAGCGGGAGAATGACATTTTCATTAGCAATTTACCGGGTGTGAAATTTCTACCATGATAAGGCATCCCTGAATAATACAGGGTAACTGTCCCCTTAGGATGACCATTCTACTAATTAATGGGGGACACTAGTGGGATTCAAGTCTCCTACCCAAATAATTTTAGTGCTCACAGCAGAGTTATTTTGTATGCACCTTGCACTGAGAAAATAAGTCAGGACCCAAAACAATAAACAAGCTGACATAACAAGATGATTGCAGCCTATTGCAGTCCAGAAAAATCTAATCTGGTCTCCTAACAGCATCACAATCTTTATTGTGACTGTATGGGTCCCAATTCATCAGCCCATTTCAGCAAGCTATCCCCGCCAGTAATCATTCACTTTCAGGGTAGCCTCTGAACAGGTATCGACTTTAGAGACTGGCAATTCATCCCCGGTTCTGCAGCCCCTCCATCCAGATTCTTTGGCAGTCTCTGAAGCAGGTTGGGAGAGAAAATTTTGGCCCATACATGCAGGACCTCCAGAGAGACTGTGAAGGAAGGAGACAAGGCAGGCAAGCAAAATTCTCCAGCTCAAAGCAAAGAGAGAATATGATACTGGCATCATATCCTGTCCCTGCTCTCATCCCAACACCACTCCCAGTGACCTAGGTGGGATCATGAAATATTAGGACTAAAAGGTATAGACAGAAGATGCTTACAGTTATTGAGGTCCTACCCTATGCCCGCTCTAGAGACTTTGGGCTCCCAAGGACTATTATGGAGGATTCCTCGGAAAATCTGTTATCAGGGATTCTGTAACTGCCCCATAATATTTTTTCCTTTTCAAGTAAACAGATAAGACCATTAGACTGGGAAATGTTCTTAACCAGAGATTGGACAAGGTCTCTGCACCCCTGCTGAACAGGGGCCTGCACACCTCCGCCACAGATGAGGGATACAGGTATGGAATGGTCAAGGCACCATGTTTGGGAATCCAGCTTGGTTCCTGTGTTTGGTATGCACATCTCCAAAGACAGATGGAACTTTGGGTCTTGGATATGGCAAAAGGAAGCTGTAATTGGAGTTTATCTGGGACTCATAATAAAATGTCAGGATACAGCCCTCCCCTTTGCTGGAGGGATCACTTGATACTTCAAGCAGTAGGCTCTGGTGTTGAAGCTGGTACAATTCTGAATGCTTTCCATCTGTACTTACCATTGGGGTCAATCATGTAGCTGGCACGCTAATCACTTTGCATGCTGTACCCCCACCCCCAATCTTTTGGTGGGCTCCCACAGAGCCTGCGGAGAGAATAATGAACCTGTGGTTGTGCCCCCTGACCACAGGTTGGGCCAAGGATAGAAATGAAGTCTAAGCCTAGATAAGCTTTAGAGATTGAGAATGTGGCTCAGGCACTCTATGTGGCTGCTAATGGGCACTGCACTGAAGAGCCACACAATTCTGAGACATGCATGGCTCAAAAAAGGCATCACTGATATGCAGAGAGAGAAAAAAGACGGGGCAGATAAACCCTCAGACACAAAGAGGGGACACACGTGTCCCCCTATCTAGCCATGCCCCTAAGGTAGAGCTATACACCAGGTCTCTTCGATTCCAGGTCCCTGGGAGACATGGCTGAAATCCCTGCCCTTGGATTCTGAATGACGTTCCATTGTTTTACTCAGTGTCCTTTAGTGGCAAGTCCCAGAGACAAGGGGGTGTACTGGCTTATAGTGCTGCCAGTACAGAGACAGATGACTGCAAGTGTTCAATGTCAACAGGGCTCTCCTTCTTTGTCTCCTGTTTCTGCCTTCCTCTCAGCTGGCTTCCTTCTCAGATGGGCTCACCAAATGCTCTCAGAAGTTCTGGCTTTGCAACCACAATGGAGAAAGTGCCCCCTCATTTCCAGTAGGTTTAGAAAAATTGGGAGACTGATGCTCATCGAATAGTTTAGGTCACAACCACCAAGGAGCTAAGCCACTGAGTGGAACATGTTGACCAATCAGTCCGTCCTTAGAAGTCACTGTGAAGAGGCATCAGCCCCACCCAAATCATGAGCACGAAGGGATAGAAAGCAAAGGGACACCACCCAAAGGCACACTGGGGTGTTGTTCCCAGAAGATGGATGTTGGGCAGGTAACAAGAAAGAATGTCTGCTATACCCTTGTCTCCCTTCAAAGAAACCCTTGTTTTAAGTTAGTCTGAGAAGATTCTGTTTCTCGTCACCAAATAGTCCTTAACTAAACATCTAGAAAAATGTGCAGGAAATGAAGATGAATAAGATTTCAGCTGTCAAAGACCTTACCTTTTTATAAGGAAGATAAACCCAATGTACATAAATTGTACATCACAAGTAAAAGCTTGTTTCAAAGGTACAAAGAATCCCAGAATTTCAAAGGCAATGACACTAAGGTAAGCAAGAAGTTTCTTTTCGATTTTTGTTTGGCTTGGGACGTAGGGAAAGAATGGCTAGGGTTTCAAATAGACAGGGAGAGTATTTCCAGTTAAAGAAAATGGTGTAGAGGTGCCTGGGTGGCTCAGTTGGTTCAGCATCTGACTTCGGCTCAGGTCATGATCTCACGATTTGTAAGTTTGAGCCCCGGGTCGGGCTCTGTGCTGACAGTTCCGAGCCTGGAGCCTGCTTTGGATTCTGCGTTTCTCTCTCTGACCCTCTCCCGCTCCCACTCTATCTCTCTCTCTCAAAAATAAACGTTAAAAAAATTTAAAAAAAAAAGAGAGAAAGAAAGAAAATGGTGTCATCAAATACCTAGAGGCTGAAAAGTACAAGAATAAGTTAAAAGCGTCAAGCTTACCCCAAGTATCTCCTCCAAGTAGCTCTCCCACCCAATGCCCCAGTGTCAGGCCTCGCCCAGACTCAGGACATCCACTTTTACTCCATTCCAATCATTTTCCACTTGCCAAGTAGAATGAACTTTTTCAAATGCAAATCTGGTGATAATGATACCCTCTTGCCTTTCCATGTTTCCCACTGCTCTGATGATCTAGATTAAAATTCTTACCTACTTTCCTTTCTTTGCACTCCAGCACAGTGGATGTTCTCTAAGTTATATGAATTTTCCAAAGACTCAGATATGCTGGGGAGGCCACCTGAAATGCCCCCTGCCCCATCTCAACCCCTTCATGTAATGATTAATTTATACCCTTCCTTCAGATCTCTACTTCAGGAAGTACAGTGTCACCAGGCTAGTTGAGATCTCCCTGTGATTCTCACACACTGTCACCCCATATTTAGCTTTATTTGCCTCATTTCAGTTAGTAAATTAAACTTTATTTGCATGATTATTTCACCAATGACTCTTCCTTCAAGAGTAGGTTTTCTCAGCCTTGGCTTTATTAACATTTTTGTCCAGATGATTCTTTGTTGTGTGGGGGACAGAGCTGTCCTGTGCATTAAAGGATATTTAGGGGCTCCTGGGTAGCTTAGTCAGTGGACATCTGACTGGCTCAGGGCATGATCTCACAGTGTGTGAGTCTGAGCCCCGCATCGGAGCCAGCTTCATATCCTCTGTACCCTCCCCTGCTTGCACTCTCTCTCTCAAAAATAAATAAAACATTAAAAATAAATAAAGAAGGGGCGCCTGGGTGTCTCGGCTGGTTGAGCGTCCGAATTCGGCTCAGGTCATGATCTCGTGGTTTGTGAGCTAGAGCCCCGTGTCGGGCTCTGGTGCTGACAGCTCTGAGCCTGGAGCCTGCTTCAGATTCTGTGTCCCCCTTTCTCTCCAACCCACCCCTGCTGGTGCTCTGTCTCTCTCTGTCTTTCAAAAATGAATAAGCATTAAAAAAATTTTTTTTAAATAAATAAAGGATATTTAGCAGCACCCCTGACCTCTACCCACTAGATGCCAGAAGCACCCCTCCCTGAGTTGTGACAACCAAACATGTCTTCATACTGCCCAAAGGTCTCCTGTGTGGATGGGTGGGAAGCAAAAGTGTCCCCGTTAAAAACCACCACTCCACAGCCTACTGCACTGGAAACTCCATGAGGAAAGAAACCGATCCAGTGTGCCTGGTAAATGTAGATACATGGTTCTCAATTTCAAGTGAACTTCAGAATCACTTAGGAAGCTTTAAAAAAATTATGATGCATGATCTACCCCATGCTAAGTAAACAGGACTCTCTGAAGGGAAGGGGTGGGGGGCGGAACTGAGGTCCAGGCCTCCATAAGAAGTTAAATCTCTTGTGCAGCTGGGGTTAATAATCACCAAAGTAGATGTCCGTTGCTAAACTCTTTACTTGATGAATGTAGGGGAGGAATGGAGATGGTAAGGGAGAAAGAGAAGGCAGGGAAGGGAGACAGGGAGGAAGTACAAGGAAGAGAAGCAAAGGAAGGAAAGAAGAAGGAAAGGAAGAAAGAAAACCAAAGTCTCTTGCTGGACTGTGACTCATAAGAGAAATCTGGCTATTAAGGCTGGAAACCTAGGCTGGGACCATATTTGAAGAGTTATGAATATTATGTTGTGATACTTGGGGTAGACAAAAGGAAGTCAATGAACACTGCAGAGCAAGGATGTTCAAGTTCAGTGTTTTAAGAAGGTAAATGGGTCGTCCAGCTCACACAAGGAATTGGAGTGAAGAGATCCAGAAATGAAATGAATTCTATGAAAAGATTTGGATGATGAGAAATAGAAAGGAAACAACAAATACCAAAGATTCTCTATGGGAAGAACAGACAGGTGATTACAGGTGATAAGTACAGGGCTGCCTTTGGGAATACAAGAGCCGCGTATCATTCTGCAGTTTAGTAAGGATGACAGATGTGGAAAAACAGGGACTAACGTGGCGTTACAAAAGACGAAGCCCAGGGTGCCGCTGGAGCATAAAGCAGGTACGTAACCTGGTCTCAAGGGTCTGACAATGCTTCTCAGAGAAGACCTTTCCACTGGGACTTCTGGGGTGAAGAGGTGGGGTCAAAGAGGGAGAAGGAAGGGAACTAGGAAAATACAAGTGGGTTAGGGCATGGCAAGAGCAAAGCAAAACAATGACAGCTGGACAGCTGAGGCAAGAAAAGTCCTGGATGATCGTGGAGGTCTTTGTAAGCCTCACTCAGGCTCTTAGACTTTACTCGAAAGTCAGGATAAGCCATGGTGAGAAGGGTTTTAAGCAAAGTAGCAATACCACGCAGATTTGTAGGTTTTTTTAGGTCCCATTTTGGCTATGGGGTGCAAAGGAGAAATGTGGAGAAAGAAAAAAGCCAGCAAAATGTTTCCAGGGCTTTAAACCCACTTGAGTGGGAGGAAGAACGGCCATATTAGCAGCAATGGGGAGAAGAAGCCAGTGACCAGAATTATGGGATAATAGGTATTCAAACATTTTCTTCCATTATTTCATAAAACCTTTAGGTTCCTTGCACAGAGTTCCCGTGTTGAGAAGAGTAAGGAAGAGCTTCCATTGTTACAGGTCCCACAGACTGTGCCTGGATCCTTTTTCCCCTATAGTGTTCAAATTTCAGTAAGAAGAAGTGCTTTAAATGAACCAAGACTCCTGACGCTGAGAAGCGATGAATCTCTCCCAGGCAGTATTTCTATATCCCTGAAGAATCTCAACAAACAAAGAACATGGCCTGTGGAACAGACCAACCCAATTTCCAAACCCTGCCCTTTAGCTGACCAGCTGGACAACTTCCTTAACTCATCTGAGCCTCAGTTTCCTCACCTGCAAATTAGGAAGACCAATACTTACCTGTGTGGATGTGAAAATCAAATGACAGATAACATTTGGACAGTGCCCCGAAAAGTGGTTGGCAGTAGAAAAAGGTTGATTTTATCTCCATTCAGAGAGGCATCCAGACTAGGTGGATTCATTGGCAACTTAAGCTATTCACTGCCATGAACTATTATATCATGAACAGCCATTTCCACAACGTAGCATTAATTCAAAATAGTACAGGCATCAATGTGATACATCGCATCAATAAGAGAAAGGATAAAAACCACATGATCATTTCAAAAGATACAGAAAAAGCATTTGACAAAAGTACAACATCCATCCATGATAAAAATCCTCAACAAAGAAGGTTTGCAGGGAACATACCACAACATAATAAAGGCTTTACATGAAAAACCCACAGCTAACATCACACACAATGGGGAAAAACTGAGAGCTGTCCCCCTAAGGTCAGAAACAAGACAACGATGTCTACTCTTACCACTTTTATTCAACATAGTACGGCAAGTCCTAGCCATAGCAATCAGACGACAAACAAATAAAAGACATCCAAATCATTAAGAAGCAAAACTTTCACTATTTGCAGGTGACACGATACTACATATAGAAAACCCAAAAGACTCCACCAAAAAACTACTAGAACAGATCAATTAATTCAGTAAAGTCACAGGATATACAATCAATATACAGAAATCTATTTCATTTCTATATACCAATAATGAAGCAGCAGAAAGAGAAACTAAGAAAACAATCCCATTTACAATTGCACCTAAAATAATAATATACCTAGGAGTAAACTTAAACAAAGAGGTAAAAGCCTGTATCTGAAAACTCTGAAACACTGATGAAAGAAATTGAAGATGACACAGAGAAATGGAAAGATATCCCATGCTCATGGATTGGAAGGACAAATATTGTTAAAGTGTCTATACTACCCAAAGCAATCTACACGTTTAATACAATCTCTATCAAAATACCAATAGCAGTTTTCACAGAACTAGAACAAACAATCCAATTGAAAATGAGAAGTTATGAACATACATTTCTCTAAAGAAGACATCCAGATGGCCAATAGACACATGAAAAGATGCTCAACATCACTCATCATCAGGGAAATGGAAATCAAAATCACAATGAGGTATCACCTTATACCTGTCAGAATGGGTAAAATCAAAAATTCAAGCAATAGCAAATGCTGGCAAGGATGTGGAGAAAAAGGAACACTCATGCACTGTTGGTGGGAATGCAAACTGGTGCAGCCACTCCAGAAGACAGTATGGAGAGATTCCTCAAAAAATTAAAAATAGAACTACCCTACGATCAGGAATCACACTACCCAAAGAATATGAAAACACTAATTCAAAGGGATACATGCACTCCTATGTTTATAGCAACATTATTTATGATAGCCAAACTACGGAAGCAGCTCAAGTGTCCATGGATAGATGAATCGATAAAGAAGGTGTGGTTATACATACAATGGAATATTATTCAGCCATAAAAAAGAATGAAAT